CATAAAAAGAGAGACAAAAAAAGAAATAGAAGGCAGACTTCTGGGTAAAAATAGTGGATTGTACAGTGGCTCACGCCTGTAATCCCAGCACTTCGGGAAGCCAAGACTCAAGGGAGGCTCAAACAGATCGCTTGAGCCCTGCTTGGGCAACATGGTGAAACTCCGTCTCTACAAAAAGCAAACCAAAAAACTTAGCTGCACATGGTGGTGCATGCCCAAGTAGTTTCAGCTACTTGGGAGCTAAGGTGGGAGGATCAACTGAGCCCAGGGAGGTTGAGGCTGTAGTGAACCCTGACTGAACCACTGCACTCCAACCCGAGTTACAGACTAAGTCCCTGTTTCAAAAAAAAAAAAAAGAGACAGTGAATTGAACACATGTACCTAATATTCCTCCTTCACTAAACCCCACTAAAACTAGAGTAGAGGACTTTTTACAAGTTTACGAAAAAAGGGAACTGGAAAAAAGATGGACAAATGGTAACTATCTTCTGAGCAGTCATGAGAAAAATGAGTCTGGCTACCCTCAGGCCATGTCTCACAGGGAACCATCCACAGTTATTTTCCATCCTGCTACCCTAGATGCTGTCTCTTTGGATGACCACTGCCCAAAAGTGACTTGAGGGCAGTTTCTCACCATGGATGTGGCTCAGCTATGTCCAGTGTCTCCCATGAGAAAGCTAGGAGACCCTAAAGGGGTCTCTTTCCAGGCACTCCCAAAGCCATGACCACTCAAGAGGAGAAGACAACACCCTCTTCCCTTCCAGCCTTACTGAGCCATCTCTGGGAGAGAGAAGGCCCTCCACTTCTTGGCATCACACTCCCTGTGCCTTTGCCACACTGTCCCTCCTACGGGCAACTCTCTTCCACCACAGGGCCAAGGAAGGGGACAAGTGCAAGGAGAGTACCATCTTACTTTCCCAAGGCCAATATCCAACCTGATACCCTGAAGCCCCTTTCCTCCACGTATACCTTTAGAAGAAGGAACTTGTGCAAAAGCCTACTGTGAAGCACCCCCACCTTCCAAAAGCCCAGAGCTCAGGCCCAGGCTCCCCTTCACTGAGCACTATTGGCCCCAAGATGAGCCTGTACTCCTCATGCAAGCTGTTTTTTTTTTTGGAGATAGGGCCTCACTCTGTCACTAGGCTGACTGCAGCCTCAACCTCCTGGGACCAAGTGATTCTCCTGCCCCAGCCTCCCAAGAAGCTGAGACTACAGATATGTGTCACCACACCCAGCTAAGTTTTAAATTCTTTATGGAAATGGGGTCTCACTATGTTGCCCAGGCTGGTCTCAAATTCCTAGCCCCAAGCAATCCTCCTGCCTAGCCTCCCAAGTCACTAGGATTATAGATACAAGCCACCATGCCCAGCACAAGTCATATTTTTTAAATCTTCTATAGGTGTTAGGAAACTGAGAAATAGATTGTGTCTAGCTTGTTTGCATTTACAGTGACCATATTTGATGAATCCGATGTAAATGAGCCTCTGTTCACACAATATTTTTTATATATAATAGAATTTACTTTTTTTTTTTTGAGATGGAGTTTCGCTCTTGTTACCCAGACTGGAGTGCAATGGCGCGATCTCGGCTCACCGCAACCTCCGCCTCCTGGGTTCAGGCAATTCTCCTGCCTCAGGCTCCTGAGTAGCTGGGATTACAGGCACGCACCATCATGCCCAGCTAATTTTTTGTATTCTTAGTAGAGACGGGGTTTCACCAGGTTGACCAAGATGGTCTCGATCTTTTGACCTTGTGATCCACCCACCTCGGCCTCCCAAAGTGCTGGGATTACAAGCTTGAGCCACCGCGCCCGGCCCTAGAATTTACATTAAGATGTTTTTAATTTTCATTTCCAATGGAGCTCTAAGCAACTGAATTCTTTAGCAGTCTAGCATCTCTTATCTTTTATCAAGTTCTGAGAAAAATGAAAAAAAATCAGAGAGAAGAAGCCATCAACATTACCATGACAAAGAAAGTTATATTTTTCTGGACTAAGTGTCTTCTAAAGTCAAGAAGGTAGAGAAAGAAAATGCATTTTTAAGGAATAAAAGCATTTCCAGTCTAGGTGCGGTGGCTCACTTCTGTAATCCCAGCACTTTGGGAGGCTGAGGCAGGCAGATCACAAGGTCAAGAGATTAAGACCATCCCGGCCAACATGGTGAAACCCCTTCTGTACTAAAAATACAAAAATTAGCTGGGCATGGTGGCGTGCACCTGTAGTCCCAGGTACTCAGGAGGATAAAGCCGAAGAATTGCTTGAACCCGGGAGGCAGAGGTTGCAGTGAGCCAAGATCGTACCACTGCACTCTAGCCTGGGTGACAGAGCAAGACTCCATCTCAAAAAAAGAAAAAAATTTCAAAGTTTTTTTACATATGATGTTGGCTTTTAATGCAAAAAGCAAGCAGAAGAATTGATGCTTATGGAGTGCATGCCCTGTGCTTGTCCCTGAACTCAGTGCTGGAGGTACATTCATCCATTCCATTCTCGCGGTAACTTAGGCCAGCAGGAGCCGCTACTCCACTTTACAGATGAAGAAGCTGAGAGTTGGTGAGATCAAGTCACTCATCACGTGGCTAGTAAATGGGGATCCAAAGTTTGTCTGACTCATAGCCTGAGTTCTTAGCCATTACATGTCCTGACTTCTTTTATATTTTTATTGAGACCTTCTGAGCAACTTTCCTTGTTGCTCAGGCTGGAGTGCAGTGGCACGATCTTGGCTCACTACAACCTCTGCCTCCCAGGCTCAAGGAATTCTCCCATTTCAGCCTCCTGAGTAGCTGGGACTACAAGCACACACAACCACACCCAGTTAATTGTGTGTGTGTGTGTGCATGTGTGTGTGCGTGTGTGTGTGTGCATGTGTGTGTGTGTGCGCATGTGTGTGTGTGTGTGTGCTTGTACAGACAAACAGCCATGTTGCCCCGGCTGATCTTGAACTCCTGGGCTCAAGAGATCTGCCCACCTTGGCCTCCCAAAGTTCTGGTATTATAGGCATGAGCCACTATGCTTGATTGTATCCTGTTTTCTGGAATTTTTTCTACAATTTGTCTATTTCTGCTGCCTCTAATCCTTCATTTTTTCCAGGCTTAATGAAACTGAACTTCTGCCCAGACAAAGAAAGAATTCTCTGTCCTTTCAGAGGCTCCTTTATTTCTTGGGTTAAAGTGCAAACTTCCAGAAATTGATTTCTCTGCCAAGGTGTGTCAGAGTCCTAAGCCCCCAAGCCTTGTTGCTGAATGGCATGAGGATTAAGGCCTGTGGCAGTCTAACCATCCTTGTGCTTTATCGAGAGGCCTATTCTAACACTTTCGTTTGGCCAACGGTCAGACTAAGAAGCACTTGCTGAAGTTTAATTAGGCTGCTCTCCTGGGACTCTGTTCACAGAGGGTCCCTCCCAGGTCTATGGCAGACAGATCGCCCCTCTGGGCTTAGTCGGTGCCCTGGGTCCCCCAGAACACCCTTTTCTCATCCTTTCTGGGCACAGAGAATCTTCCCCGATCATCCATGCCCAGTAGTGACCAAATGGGGCCCTAGCAGGTCCCCCTACTTTGGCCCCTCTTTCAAGTACTCCATGTACCACAGATAAAGCTGCCACAGTTGCCAGCACATCAGCACAGGAACCCCCCCAGTCTGTCCCCCTTCTCCACACCGCCCACTCTGACTTTCCTTCTCACCAGTTCCCACTGAACCTGTCTCTTCACATCACGCTTGGTTCTGCCTTTTCCATCTGACTACGTGGTGACCATTCATTCAGCTCAGGTCATGGCCCCCTCAGACCCTGTTTCCACTGTCCCCTCATTGGCTCCCCTGCACCCTGGCCTCATGGGGTACCCCCACAGCTGTGCAGCCATCCACAGGTCCTCCCCACTACAACGAGAAGCTGACAAGAGAATCCCATCAGGGAGAGCGGGAGGAGCCTCCATAAAATGCTAGACACTTGGCAATTGTCACTTAATCCTCCCAATGCAACAACTTGTAATTTATTTATCCTCCACTTTATTCTAGAAATGGGTTAAGAAGCCTTATGAGAGTATATAAAAGACCAACTTAGCATGAATTAAAAGCAGAAGCAACAGAAGAAAGAGAAGTATAGGGCACATAAACCAAAATTAAAGAGCAAAATGTGCTACATAAATTCTTCGCTGTGTGTGGCCATAACTTTGTGTCTGGCATCCTTTTACAGGCAAGAAGGGAAGGGGAGCCTGAGCAGTGTCAGGAGGCAGGTACTGCCATTTCTGCTTCACAGGTGAAGAAGTAGGCCAGAGGTTGAGGGGTTCGCCCAGGATCCCACAGCTGACAGGTGGCAGATGAGACTTAAATCTAGGCATACCCAGATAGAAGACAGAAGGCACTGGTTTTTGCTGTTGTTGTTATTGTTGTTGTTTTTCAGGGGTTTGTATTGTTTTGTTTTGTTTTGGTAGAGATAAGATCTTGCTATGTTGTTCAGGCTGGTCTCAAGCTCCTGGCCTCAAGCAACCCTCCCTCCTCAGCCTCCTAAAGTGCTAGGATTACAGGCATGCACCACTGCACCTTCTAAGTCTTGTGTTAATATTTAGGCTCTCCTGAGCCCTGTCCCAGGAGTCCATCTCTGGTGTTCTTCCAGGACCAGAACCTCCTCCTGAACAAGAGGTATCCATCAGCTGCCATGACCCTTCTCCAGCCACCATGGCATCACCCGGACAATAAGAGACGAGGACACCTGGCTGTGATGGGCATGTCTCTCCTGGGACTGTGGACAGTGGCAGTGGCAGTAAGGGAAGTGGGCCACTATAGCCACTCTGTCCTAGTCAGAACAGAAACCAATCAACCTCCAGCTAAGGTAGGGCCAAGGGAGGGAGAGAAGAAGGGGAGGCCCTTCAAGACACCCACACTTCTCTGCAACAGCCCTGCTCACTGCTCCATCCAAAGGCAGCATACAACTAATAGGCTTGTCATCTGGGGTGATAACATTAGCCTCATCATTAGCATTTTACTAAATAAATCATTTCAAATTAATTACCTTGCACTCTTGAAAGAATCAGCTCTGGTTGACTCCTCCATTCCTCCTGATGATCACATTGGCAGAATTCATTAGTTCTGTAGATAAACCAATGTGTTTGTGTGTGCCCTGGATATAGACAAGCTCTTCCTCCCTGACACATGTGCCGGGGAGCCCAAGTGCATCCAGGAGGCTCAAGTCTGCAGTTGGGCAGCATGGCCATGGCCCACTGCTGACGTCCCTCAAGTCTGGGACCCCTCGACTCCAGGCATTACCCTTGAAGGTTGCAGCAGGCCCTGAACAGCCTTGTCACCAGTTGGCTTTGTCCTTTGTCTCCTTCTTGGGTTCCATGGGAAAATCATGTGAATGAACATGTCAGTTGCTTTCTTCTCTATTTGAGAGTCTCAAAGAAGAGCTGGAGAGCTGAGGGAAGGGGAGAAAGGGAGGCATGCATCTTGGGCACCTCACTTGAACCTCTCTAAGCCTCAACTTCCCCAGCAGTCAGTGGGGATGATGGTATCTACCTCGTAGGATTATTGTGAGAACTATGATTTGATAGTTGATGGCTAATTTAAAAAAAAAAAACAGTTGATAGTGTTGATAGCTAATTTAAAAAAAACAGATGGGATCTTACTATGTTGCTCAGACTGGTCTTGAACTCCTGGGCTCACACTTGACTTGCGCTCAGTGACCTGCCCATTTTAGCCTCCCAAAGTACTGGGATTACAGGCATGATCCACCATCCCTGACTGAGAGCTGTATTTTAATGGCATATTTACCATGTGCTGGACACTGTTCTGAACACACAGACCAATTCACTTAATCTTGACCGCAACTCTGTGAGGCAGGTACAATATTATTCCCATTTTCATATGAGAAAACTTAGGGAAAGGAAGGTCAAAAATAGCCAGTCGGCCCATGGCCACACAGCGAGTGAGTGGCAGAGATAAACTCTGAAGCTAGATGGTCACCTCTACAACCCTGCTCCTAGCCGTTTAGCTTTGTGGATTAAATGAGATAATGCATAAAACATTCAGCAGACATTCTGGCACTTAGGACAACTCAATAATTGTTAGCTATTATTGTGGTTAATTATGCAAAATAAAAATAGTAGGATGGAGACAAACGCCAACAGGGGTGAAAACACAAACGTTTTTGATTGGAAGACACCTTGATGATGCAGGGCAGGTGAGCCCCATTTTGGGGCTTAGCCCAGGAGGGCTCTTAACTTCTCTCAGGAAAGAATTCAAGAGCCAGCTGGAGGTAGCATAAAGCAGGCTGACTAGAGAAGCAGCAGTGTAGAGTGGGGGCTCCCTGCAGAGTGGGGTTAACCCATAGGCAGCACACTCAGAGTAACAGCACGACAGACTGTTGACTAGCCATGTTTCTGGTTAATTCTTGATTATGTGCTAAAAACATGGTGAACTATTCATGAGTTTTCCGGAAAAGGGGTGGAAACTTCCCAGAGTCCTCCCCCTTTTAGACCACATACAATAACTCCAGACTTTGCCATGGCATTTGTAAACGGTCCTGGTGCTGGTGGGAGTTTCCTTCAGCATGCTAACGCATTATAATTAGGATATAGTGAGCAATGACATAGCTTTCATTGCCGTCTTGATCCTGGCTGGTTTCAGCTGGCTTCTTCACCACATTCTGTTTTATCAGCAGGGGTCTTTGTGACCCAAGCCTTGAGAAGCAAGTTCCGCCAAACCCTTATCTCATTACAGCCTAGACTCCTAGCTTTACAGGCTTCCCACTTTTGTCCAAGATATCCCTGTTGAAAGAGGTTATAGCCTTGAATCTCATTTCAGAAGGTGCTCCCTTCATAGACACTAATAATTTTCCCAAACACAGAATATTAGTTGGGGAGAACTGAGTGATCATCTAACCCAACTCCCCTCTCATCACAGACGAGGAAACTGAGGCCTGGAAAAGTCACTGGGCTGGTGAGAACAGAGCCTGACAAGGAGCCTGAATCCCTGACAGTTCAGGACTTTTTTCTCTACAGCATGTTGGAAATCCTACACTCTTATTTGCATGTTGCTTTCCATAAATTTGCATGTTGGTCTCCAAAGACTCAGTGTGTGAAACAAAATAAAAGAATGTGGGCACTGAATTTAAACTTAATAATCAACACTCTTGAAATGCAGAACAGCGCCCCAGGCTTCAAGGAAGGGGTGGCTGAGGGCCCTGGAAGGGAGAACAGGAGTTGGGATGCAGCCTCTCTCAGTGTAGAGGTAGGTGGGTCTCTGTGATAGAGGGAGCCAGTCACCTCGGTGGCCAGCATGACTCAGGAGCTCTATAGGAGCCACCAGAAGAAACCCTCCACAAAGCCCACCTAGAACTAGAACACAAATCTATGACATAAGTTCTCCCAAAGCAGCCTGCATGGGCACTGAGGCCCAGAGAGATGAAGGGACTTTCCTAAGATCACTGAACCGTCAACAGCAGAGCCTGGACCACAACCCACATCTCCTAACTCCCAGTCCTACAAACTGTGACCATCTTCAGGGTGAAGCTACCCCAAGGCCCCAGTGAAGCACACTCTCCTCCCTGGCTGGAGAGGAGGAGCCTCAGGATAGCCAGTAAGCCTCCCCTATTGGCTCAAAGCTGTTTCTCCTTAGAAAACCCAGAAGCCAAGAGCAGCCAATCCCCAGGGGCATGTCCCTGGGGCACACAGGCCCTAATCCTGGTCTGCTTAGTCAGGCATAATAGGAAATGAAGCAGAGAGAGGGAGAGAAATAAAAATGCCCACTGAATCGTAAATGGGGAAAAAAGCCAATGAAGCAGTCATAGCCTTGGCTGGGAGAAGAAGAGCCAGGACTGGGGGTCCAGGAGTAGGCAGCTCTCTCCTTCAGAGCCCCAGGAGGAACAGAGATGACAGAGGAACACAAGGCTGGGCTGTGGCCTGCCCCAGCTCGCAAAAGAGATCCAAGGAAGCTGACCTGAGAGATGTGCTCAAGAGAAGCTGGACTGGGGACCTGAAAGCACCAAGAGCTCAATAGAAGTTCTTCTCCTTCTTGAAAACAAAAACTGAGTTCACAGCAAGCCTGGAAGACTCACCCTTCAGTCTGCAGTGGCATGGCTTTGCAGAGACTTGGCTGAATACAAGGGACTTACATGTTAATTCTATGCAAAAGCCTGCCCATTGCAGACTTCAGGAAAATGCCTCCTTCCTCCAGAGATGGCAAGAGACAGTATAGGAAAGTCATCTTTCCAGATGGGACTGAAATTGTGCCTGGGGTGGACAGGTGGACCTTCATTGGCTCAAGTCCGGGGCCTTGCAGGCCCTTCCTCTCTGGTCCAGGACCCTGGCCTTCTCTCTCTTCCAGACTGGGAGACTCAGACTGAACAGGACATAATTGGGGTTTTAGTGTGCTGGAAAGAAGTAAAGAAACTCTTCCTTTCCTCTCTGTAGTGGGTGTGTGAGGTACAGGGAAGGAAATAATTTTTTCTCTACCCTTCAAACTCTGTAGCAAAGACAGATTTACAAGTGAAAATCGAACAGAAGTTTATGAACATGTATACCTGGTAGATATCCAGAGGAAACAGGAAATCTCCAAGAGGTGCTTTGAATTCAGATTTAAATATCATCTCTAGCTGAAACAAAGAAAGAGGGGTATGGAGGAGGCAGTGATGGTGGGGGCAGGGGATGACCAGGGAAAGCATGGTGAACAAGGGTGAAGTTTGTTATGCAGATATAAGGTGGTACCTTCTCCATTGATAAGCGTCTCTAGTGATTTAATAGCATTCTTTTCTTTCTGCTACAGAGAGGGAGACACTTACAAATGGAGATTTCCTTAATAGATACAAATTTTCTTACAGAAGAATAACTTTTACTCTGTTTTCAGGACTTCTCCTGTGCCTACTGAATCTTAAAGTAATCCTCATGCCAAAAAGACATATTTCGGGATGGCATATTCCGCTCTGCTACAAAGGGGATAATTTGTAGAGGATGAAGAAGGAGGAAAGAAGGGCACAGGTTGGAGGAGTAGCCCCAGAAGGGTGTAGGCATGTGTTTTAGTGCTGCTGTAGCAAAATACCTAAGACTGGGTAATTTATAAAGAAGAGAGATTTATTTCTTGCGGTTCTAGAGGCTGAGAAGTCCAAGAGTAAGTGTCTGCATCTTGTTAGAACCTTCTTGCCATGTTGTGCCATAACACGGCAGAAGTCATCACATGTGAGAGAGTACTCCAGACAGGGCAAGACGACACTTACCTCACTTTTGTAACAAACCCATTCCCAAGATAATGACAATCTATAAGCAGATAGAAAGGCTCTTCAGGGACCATAGAATCCATCTAGTTTTAGCAATCATCCTGCTTTATAGCTCCCTATCTTACAGCCTGATGTTTTCAAGCCCTGTGTGGAATATGGTCTCCTAGTCAGCTGAAACCAGCTCCTGACAGAGACCCGCAACTTACAGATGAGTCAGAGTAAACTTTCTCCATTACCATACTAAAGTCTACACCTCAGAAGGGTGTATACCTTCAATATCATAACATACAGCCTAGTGCCAGCATGATGACCTTTGCCAGAGAGCCTCCTGTACATGCGACAATGCATCTTCTCCCCTCTCCATTGCCCCATTCAACACTCCTGTCACTTTCCCCCCAGGAGCACTGCTTTGGAGAATCCTCTTCCTATCTGTGGCAAATAATAAAATCCCTATTGATCAAAACCTGCATTCTCGCAGAGTCATTTGATACTCGTCAGGCAAATGGACCCATTTTTTGAGTAACAAATTCATTCATGGGGGTTCTGCCGTTAACTCCTCTCATTAGGAGCCACCCCCAACACCGTTGCATTGGGTACTAGGTTTCCAACACACAAATCTGGGGGACACATTCAAACCATAGCAGCACATTGGTGACTTCCGTTAATACCAAGTTTTATCCTGGGTGATTAAAACACAATAATGAAGCTGGAGAACAGTCTGGAAAAATGGCTTGGGACCCATTCAAAAAGGGTCTTGAGCACTCTCCTAAGGACTCTGATGTTCTTTCTGTTGACAACAGGACACCACTGAAAGTTTTGAGAAGAAATGACGCACCTGGCGCTGCAGGAAGTAACTTCTAACACGGGAGGCAGAGGCAAGAGTTTGAAAAGAGAAGGATTTGTTAGGAGGCCTTTGCTGGTGAGCAGGTCAGGAGAGACAGAGCAGCAGCCTGAATTCCAGTCGTGGGTAGGACGGAGGAAACCAGAACAGAATAAAAAGAGAACTGACAAGAATGAACAATGGATTAGCGTGAGGATGAGGAAGAGAAAGAAATAAAAATTGAATGAGTTTTGTAGCCCAGATAGCTGTGTGGTAACATTAAGTGGCATCAAGGACCTGGGGAGAAAAAAGAGGTATAAAGGAAGAAGAGTGACTTCAGCTGGGGACATGGAGAATCTGAGACATCCTTTGGACAACTTCATGGAAATCCCCAGAAGACAGATGGAAACTCAAGACCAAGTTGGAGATATGTAGGCTCAAGAAGAGGTGAGGATTTGAGAGTTAACAGCATCAGGGAGCCTGAGAAGGAGACTGAGAAGCAAACCCAAGGGAATGCAGAGCTGATGATGACACAGACAATTCCTTGGTAGCTAAAGACGGCAAAGCCACCCGTAGGTAGTCAGAATCAAACAAAGAAATCTAGAAGGGATGGAACAATAAGAAAGTGGAGCCCCAGAGTATACAAAGTCCCTGCAACTCCCAGGACCTATGTGAGAAAAAAGAATTTCTATCTCTGTGGGAGCCACAGGAGTGTTGAGAAAAAACAACCTGTGAATATTCTGAGTTATTCAGAAAAGATCAGATGCTCATGTCTGTAATCCCAGCACTTTGGGAGGGCAAGGCAGGGGATCACTTGAGGTCAGGAGTTCAAGACCAGCCTGGCCAACACAGCGAAACCCCAACTCTACCAAAAAAAGAAGAAAAAATGCAAAAATTGCCAGGTGAGGTGACATGCGCCTGTAATCCCAGCTACAGGGGAGGCTGAGGCACAAGAAGTGCTTGAACCCGGGAGGCAGAGGTTGCAGTGCAGAGGGGCAATCTCTGGGTGACAGAGTGAGACCCTGCCTCAAAAAAAAAGATGTGTTCAAGGTGGTATGGCTGTAGACTCTTCTGAGTTATTCAAAAAGAGGATTTATATATCTCAGAGGATTAGGGTTCTGCCCTCTTCAGATTAATCCTCTCTTAATAAAATAAAAGAAAATTTCTTTTCATCACTTTATAATCATAGATATATGAAAGAAAAATAAACCTTGGGACCCCAAAATCACTACGTCAAGCTGGGAACTACTTAGGGCAAACCTACCTCTCATTCTATCCCTTAAAAAGATAGCTACTAAGTTTAAAAAAAAAAAAAAAAGCTGTATACCTATCTCACAAGGAATTTCCTTGTGGACCAAAGACAGACAGAACTCAAAATCATCCCTCTGCTCACTGAGATAAATGCATATCTGACTGCCTCCTTTGGAAAGACTAATCAGAAACTCGAAGGAATGCAACTTTTCATCTTTTATCTACCCATGACCTGGAAGCCCCCCTTTCCATTTCAAGTTGTCCTGCCTTTCTGGACCAAACCAATGTTCATCTTACATATATTGATGGATGCCTCATGTCTCCCTAAAATGCATAAAACCAAGCTGTGTCCCAACCACCTTGGGCACATGTCCTCAGGGCCTCCTGAGGCTGGGTTACGGGCATGCATCCTTAACTTTGGCAAAATAAACTTTCTAAATTGACTTAGACCTGTCTCAGATATTTGGGGTTCATAGATGGTTGAAATATTATAAAGAAATAAAAACTTCCATTAATGTCACCTTCATCCCTCATTGGCTCCAGCCAAAAACGTTGCCATCATTGTCAACTCTTCCCTCTGTCTCTACTGTATGTCTAAGAGAACCACAGAGCTTATAAACTCTCTTTGCAAAATGTACCCAGAATCCGACTCCTCCTTATGACCCCCATGGCAGCCAGACTGGCCCCGCCACTATCCCCTCTCACCTGCATGTGCCACAGCCTCCCGGCAGTTTCACTGCTGCTCCTATAAATCACCTCTCCACTTGACATCCAAAAAGGTCCTGATAAAATGCAGACAAGGCCTTGTTACTCTTTAGTTCTAATTCAGTGACTTCTTAGTCTGTTTGTGCTGCTATAACAAGTAACTGAGATGATATTTTATAAATAATGGAAATTTACTTCTCACATTTCTGGACACTGGAAAATCCAAGATTAAGGCCCTTGCCAAGTTCATTGTCTTGTCGGGGCCCTCTTGCTGTGTCCTCACATAGCAGAAGGGCAGAAAGGACACTCAAGCTAGTTCCCTCCAGTCCTGTTATAACCACGAATCCATTCATGTAGGCTGAGCCCCCATCACTTAATCACTTTCCAAAAGGGCCCCATCTCTTAATACTATGGAGAGTAAGTTTCGACAATGAATTTTAGAGGGGACACCATCAATCAAACCACAGCAACTTCCCATCTCACTAGAGTAAAATCCAAAGTTGTCCCAGTGGCCTAAAGGCCTGACGTAACCCGGCCCCTGCTCTCTACCTCCATCTCTCTCCAAGCCATTTCTAAACTTGTCATGTCTGTATTCCTGTACTTCCGCTCCCTACCTGCTCTCCTGGATATGCATCCGGCACCTTCCCCTATGTTGTTCAGGTCTTTACTCAAAGGCCATTTTCTCAGAGAGGCCTTGTCAGACCTTTCAATCTACAATTGAACCCTTACACCTTCTACACACACACACCCTCCTGATCCTCTCGCCACCCTGTGCTGTGTTTCTCTCCTAGTAAGATGCTGTCAACACTACATAATGTACTCCTTTATTTGATGATTTTGTTTCCCTAAACTAGGATGTTAGTCCCTAAAGACAAGGATATTTGTCTATTTTGTTCAACGGTGTGTCACCAGGACTAGAAAAGTGCCTGACACTTGGTGGGTGCTCAAACATCTGTGTAGAATGATTGACTGCAGCCTGTGGGGTAATTTGCCACCTTCTATGTCAGCTGCGATGAATTGCCCCTCGCTCCATGCCAGATTCTGCCAATAGAGGGTGTGAGCAGCAGCTGAATCCACTTTGCAGTTTCTCCGGTATTTGTAGAACCAGCCTCCTCCTTGGTATAGCTTCATCCTCCCCACTTCATCAGAGGTCTGAGTTTCAGCTGGACAGCATCTCTTTTTAAAGTTTTAATGATTCCAGCCTCCTTCCTTTGTTCACTCAGCCCCACAGCCGGTGGCTTTCTCCTGTAGTTGCTACCTCCATGACACCCTGAAGTGCTTTTTTTTTTTTTTTTTTTTAAGAGATGGAGTCTTTCTCTGTCACCCAGGCTGGAGTGCAGTGGCATAACCTTGGCTCATTGCAACTTCCACCTACCGGGTTCAAGCAATCCTCCTGCCTCAGCCTCCAAAGACAGGCACATGCAACCACACCCGACTAATTTCTGTATTTTTAGTAGAGGTGGGGTTCACCATGTTGGCCAGGCTGGTCTCCAGCTCCTGGCCTCAAGTGATCTGCCTGCCACAGCTTCCCAAAGTTCTGGGACTACAAGCATGAGGCATTGCACCCAGCCTGAAGTACTCTTTTTATCCACTCAGTTACTAGTTATAACATTATACTTTCTTGACAATTTGTTGTATTAAATTCTTTCCATCCAAATAACTGGTGCAGTTTCAATCTCCCAATGAATGGATGGGGGTGGCAGATGCAAGCCACCACTCAGGATACCTAGCTGCTGCCCACAGCCTTCCTGCCTGGCCTAGGACCTGTAACCCAGGTGCAGAGGGTGGGCAAAGCTCCCTGGCCCTCCCAGTCCAGGTACTACTGGAGGCAACTCCTATTTCACAGTCTCCTCTGTTCCCAGACCCTCTCCTGAACCCTGCCACGAAGCTCATGCTTTTCTGTACCCTCACCACTCCCTACACCTGTCCTCACCATCGCTCTTATCATCTCATTTTGAAGCTGCGTGCTTTTATACCTGTCCCCATGTTCAGACTGGCGGCACAGCCAAAGGCAGGATCAGATGCTGTTCCTACCTGTAGCCCTACTGCTTGCCTATTTCACCCTTTCCCCACTCATAGGAGGTGCTCTGTAATGTTCAACGAGCTAATAAACATTTGCTAACCCAGATATTTCAACAGGATATGAAAGCCACGGATTTTAATGTATAGTCCAACCTACACAACTACCAAAAAAAAAATCCACATGGCAGTAAAAACAAAACAAAGAAAGAAAAAAGAGAGAGAAAGAACCTAGAATCTGTGCTTTAATCACCCCCATGCAAACCAAACTTTCAGATAAAGAGAAATGTGGCCAGTCCCCAGTGGGTCTCTTTCCTCATAATGTTGAGCCATAATTATATTTTCACGGAGTCTGCATGTTATTATTTACATTTCCGTGTTGATGTTGGTACAGTTGTCAGAGTTCCTGAGGACACCTTTTCTGCCTGAGCCCAGAGAGGGCTGCACATCTCTTGGAAGGGATGCTGAGGTCCCAAGGCAGTCTCCCTCCCGAGACTGGAAAGCATTATCAGCCAGGCTTTTCTTCTCAATCTCAATCTGCTCGTCCATCTCTCTTTCTCTCTTTTCTTCTCCCTCTTCCTTTCTCCTCCCTTCCTCCCTTCTCTCATTTCTGGTAAAGTATCTAATAGAATCACTTGTGCAATAGATAACAACCCTGTTATAGCTGCTGGTGCTTCCCCTGTGTAATTAGGAAGTATACTGTTGTGTAATTCAGAAATTAATTAGTAGTAAATGTTTCAAGAATGCAGGTGGAAGTGGGAGCTGACTGCGCTCCACCAGCCATGCTTCTGGATTGCTTTCCAGCTCTAGAGGAACATTTCTGGGCTCACCCAGGGACCTCCCCCATAAAGGACACCTCTGGTTCTGAGGGTTGGTACTCCCTTCTTCACCTTCAGTGCTGAGGATGCAGCTACAAAAGCCACAAGCTCGCTGCATGTCAAGGTGCTCTGACCCACTGCTAGGCAGCGGCCATAGAAGGCGTCCCTTGCTGCCCAAAGAACTCTCAGGGCCCTTCAGCCCAGGGGATGGATGGGGTAGATGTTACCGTGCAACCTGAATCTTGGGGATTCTGAGGATTTTGCTCTGAGGAGTAGCCTGAAATTATCCCTCTCTGATATAGAAAGGAAAATGACCACATTGGTAACATAGACCGGATCACGGAACAGGAGACAGGAATAAGCAAGGAAGTCGACTGCTTCCTGGCCCAGGCTGTCCTGCTGGGGCTGCAGTGACGGCCTCAAAGATGAGGTGAAGCTCAGCCTCCTCCAGAGGGTTGTGGGCTTCTCCACGCAGGCTCGTTTATCCCATCCTCTTGCCTTCTCTCATGCTGTTCCCTGTCTGGAATGCCTTTCCCTCTCCTTTACCAGTGCTTCACACAATACCTAGACTATAGCTGGTGCTTAATAAATATTTACTGGATGAACGAATGAATGAAATTCTACTTGTCTAATTTCTACCCATCTTGCATGAAGCCTGCTTTGTTTCCTGAGGCTACCTTAACCTCTCTGTCTTCTTGGCTGGCTTGACTTTTCTGTGTATCTCCTACAGCACTCATGTCATGCAGCATTTCAAATTACTACGTGCATATGGGCCTGTCTTCATTCGGCAACAAGCTTCTTGGGGAAAGGACTTGTCTTATTCATCTTTGCATCTCTTCTCAGCAACTCCCAGGGCAAACACTGAGCCTGACATGTAGTTGGTGCTTAAGAAATGTTTATTGTCTGAATTATTGAGCAGAATGAAGGACAGTCACTCCATCCCCAGAGACACTGCCCGCTCCCCTCGGGATGGTGGGGGTTCCCATTTCAGGTAGCCAGGAGAAGCTGAAGAGCCAAACAGGCGCAGCCTGTGCCTGCTGGATAAATCCACTGTGCAAATCCACTCATTAGTATCCATGGAGCTCTGGAACAGAGTCCCCAGCAATCCCTCCCAGAGCACACGCAGGATAATTTTGACTGCGGGGTGATTCTGGCTGGAATTTCATCACCAGATCATGCCTCTCATCTCCTAGTCCTCTCTTCCTTGTTGAACTGAATTCAATTCAACACGCCTAAACTGAGGGCTTATAATATACACAGAACCTTCTGAAATCCCGGCGAGTTTCCATCTGCTTTCCTCTGTTTTTACTATCAGAGCCATTCCCTTCCATGGAAACTGAGAAGCTGATTCTCTTTGGCAATGCCCTTCCCCTGAGCCTGGCATCCTCAGAGCCTCAGACAGGCCAGGATTAATGCAGCCCTGCCCCCACCGGCCAACAGGAACACTTGATAATACAACTCTGAGAGTATCACTAAACCTCAGGATCCTCTGTCTTAGATTGAAAATTGATCAGGACCAAAAGGAAGCCCAGAGACAAGGTTCAATAGATACTAAAAAGACCTGAACTTGCCTCTAACAGTAACCACAAAAGCAATAATAATCATCCATGTTGATGGTGTGTCTCCTGGGGAACTTTCTGTGTGCATTTGTACAGTGTCTCACTGATTCTGACAACAATCCCACAAGGCATATATATCTATTACTATCTCATTTCACCAGTAAGGAAACTGAGGCACAGAGAAAGTAAGAGGACAGTCTAGGAAATCCGTAGACATCTTTTTGAAGTGGGGGGGGTGCTAGTGATCAAATGTTTTAACAGTGACTGAATGAATGAAATGAAATTCCAGTCCATGGGAGCCCTTTCAGGGAGTGTAAACTTCCTCTTATCTTCTCCTCTCTCCACCAATGAGCTGCTTCTTTAATGGGGACAGAATAACTCACTAAGGACTCAAGCTTCCTTCCCTCTGCGGTCAGCGGTGTCCAAGCTGTGTGCTCTCTGGCTTCAGGGGCAACTGCGACCAAGAGAGGCAGCCTGAGGAGAATGTCTTTGGGATTTTTCTTCTCTCGAAGCTGAAGCTCTGGGAGGGAGTCAGCAGTAGTCTGGGAGGAAAGATTCAGAAGAAAGAGAAATTCCTATAGGCCAGGAAAAAGATGCCCACGGCAAAGAGTTATTCCCACACCCCGGCAGCGGCTCCCAGCCCAGTTAGTGTTAAAGCCCATGGGGCCAGGAGCAGGAGCTGTCACCTCCAAAGACAGGCAGGCTGCGACAGCGACCACAGTGGAGTGAAAATTAGACACCCTTTTCCCATTTTGCTGTCCCTGTAAACCATTCTGTATAGCCCTGGGGAGAGGGAGGAAGCTGGGTGGAATGGGAACTCCGCATGACATATAATTAGAATGAGAAACATGTAGAGCACATTCATGTTGCCAGAGCCCTTTTTTAAGTCCAATTGTTTGTTAATCACTCAATAGCATGAAGAAAGGGGAGGACTGCTCTAGATTAAAAGGTGCACACTGGGGGTCTCCTTTGAGTCCTCATCCAAATAAACCAACTGTAAGAATATATTTTGAAGCCAATCAGTGAAATTTGAATATAGATTGGTTATGAGATGTGATTAACGAATTCTTGCGAATTTTGTTCGGTTGGAGAATGGTGCTGTGGTTGTGTCATAAAATGTCCTTTCTTAGACATGCATAATACAGGGTACAATTTACTCCAGCAAAAAATGACAAAATAGATATGATAAAATATTAAAATCTAATTCATGATGACGGGGCTTCACTATACCGTTCTTTTACTTCTATTAGATTTGTATAAGTAACATCCGGACCAGGCCCAGTGGCTCACACCTGTAATCCCAGCACTCTCAGAGGCCGAGGTGGGAGGATCACTTGAGGCCAAGAGTTGGAAACTAGCCTGAGCAACATAGTGAGACCATGTCTTTACAAACAATGTTTTCAATAATTGGGTGTGATGGCACATGCCTGTAGTCAGTCCCAGCTACTGGGGAGGCGGAGGTGGAAGGATGGCTTGAGCCCAGGAGGTCTAAGCTGCAGTGAGCCGAGATGGCACCACTGCCCTCGAGCTCTGGGCAACAGAGCAAGACCCTGTCTCACATAAATAAATAATATCTAAATACAGAAACACGTGTATACAATTTGATAAGTACGTAATAAAATAATTTATATAGAGATGAAAATGTTTAACATAAAGATATAAATATAAATGTTTTCACAAAGAAAAAGAAAAGTGTCAACAGATGGTGGTTAATGAAAGGATCTCCCCACATCCCTGCAGCCCCTGGCTCTGGTCCAGAGTATAACGAGGGAGTGAGAGATGCATCGGCAGCCTTCCACAGACCTTAAGGAACTCAGCTGCCAGAACCATGCCTCTGCCTTATTTCCGTTCCCCATAAGGTCCTATGCTTAACTGGTGAACCCTTCCAAAACTGTGAAGAGCCAACATCTGTCTTCACAGCTTGTAAACTCCAAATGATCACCCTGTCCCCCATGAGTGAACCCTCCTTCTCCATGCAACTGCCACTAGTAAGTGACTAACATTATCCTTTCCAAAGACCAAAGCCAAATGGAATAAGCTCGGACATGCTGTGCTGCATATCAGCCCTGATTACAGGCAAAGGACATCCAGGATGCTTCTCTTCATCCTTGTTGTCTTAGTCTGTTCTGGCTGCTGCAACAAAATACTGTAAACTGGGTGGGTTATAAACAACAGAAATTTAGTTCTCATAGTTTCGAAGGCTGAAAAGTCCAAGATCAAAGTATTGGCAGATCTGGTGTCTGTGAGGGTCCCCTTCCTGGTTCATAGATGGCCGTCTTCTCTCACTGTGTCCTCACAGGGTGGAAGGGACTAGGAAGCTCTCCTGTACCCTTCTAGAGGGCACTAATCCCATTCATGAGGACCCCACTCTCATGACCTTATCACCTCCCAAAGACCCTGCCTCCAAACACCCTCACAGTGGGGTTTAGAATTTAATGGATGAATTCAGGAATGGGGGAACAAACCTTCAGCTCATAGCACTTATTGTAACATATAGATGTCCTCCATCGTCACACCACTTATAACCTATGCCAGGCGTGGTGGCTTAGGCCTGTAACCCCAGCAGTTTGGGAGGCTGAGGTGGGTAGATCGCTTGAGTCCCAGAGTTCGAGACCAGCCTGGGCAACGTAGTGAAACCCCGTCTCTACCAAAAATACAAAAAAATACGTGGGTGTGGTAGTGCATGCCTGTGGTCCCAGGTATTCAGGAGGCTGAGGCAGGAGAATTGCTTGAGCCCAGGAGGTAGAGACTACAGTGAGCCAAGATCGCTCACTACACTACAGACTGGGTGATAAATCAAGAGACTGTGTCAAAAACAAAGAGGGGTTGGGGAGAGAAAATGTGGCGGCGGGATCCACCTCTAAGTGGGCCCTCTCTGACGCTATCTTTTCTGAAGTGGAGACGTCAGTGGGAGTCTTGGTTATCCACTATCAGGGATGTAAACTCTCGAGGTCAGCCAACCTCACACACAAATTGAAGGAAAGGGTTAACATATGGATGGAAGACACGGACAGGAGACTGAAGGGGAGCAAGGAAGCAGTGGGCTAGGGTGTAACGGAATGGCCACATCCCAGAATCAGAACTAGGAGCAATAACGGGGGTTGGACTCAGAGGGAGCTAGAACACCCGAAGCTGCAGAGATGCTGGACATCGGAGAAGCTGGCAGGCTGAGCCTGCCCCGACTCAGAAGAACAGCTGGTATGTGAGAGGAGCCAGCCAATGAGCCAGAGAGAGACCACCCAGGTGGGTGGGGAGCCTGTCTGCCAGTTGTGATGGGTGCTGGTGCGTAACCCCGTAGAACTGGGCTGCTGAGACACCGCCGTTGTCAGGACCTTGGCCGGGAAGAGCCTCCTGTTGCCAGTGGATGGGCTGTCTGCCTGGCTCTCCCAACCCCGCTCCAAGCTGATTCTGTGATTGCACATAATTACAAAAAGCCCTGCCTGGGCAGGTGGATGTGAGGAGCAAGCTAATCCATGACTCTCAGCAGGGAACGGGAGCTCGCTGAAGATGGCCTGGTTGTGGTGGAATTACCCAGAAGATTCAGGACGCTCAAAATGCCTCTCACTGAAATGTCAGCTTCCATGTTCCAGAAGGTCTTAGATAAGTCTGGGACTCACACAGTGGCTTGTGTTTCTTCCTATTTACTAATAAGGAAACAAACTGTGCCTTTTAGAGGTGATATGAATTGGCTCTGAAGCTAGGGAGGGTGGGAGTGCAACAGAGGAAGAGGAACACCTCAGTGCCTGTCTCTCCAGGCTGACTTCACCCCACCCCCACTCCCACAGGGGGAATCAGAGCTCCCTGGCCTTCTCTGCACAAATCAAAGACCCCATGACATGGGAGGCAGCCATGGCCTCCTCTGCGCCTGGCATTGTCAGGGTGAGGAGAAGCTGGGGGAGGGACCAGCTCAGCAGGAGACCCTGTCGGGGCCACATGTCCTCCCAGAGCTCCACAGCCCTTCAACCTTCAGCAGCTCCCTGCCAACAGAGACCCAGCTTTGACGAATCTGCACATCAATGGCAGTCCCCACTGTGGCTTCTGCTGCCAGGGGTTGCTGTGTCCAGTACAAACACATCCTCTCTGCTGGGGAAATACAGGGAGGCACCTGCTCTACAGTCTACAGAGCTTCCTCTTCTGCAAACGGAAAGACAGAGTTCACATTCATTAAGTGTCTACTTTGCGCCAGGCACTGTTCTAGGCTTTGGGATAACAAGGAAAACTCCATCTCTGCATCCACAGACTATCCACCTGGAGCGGGGAAGGCAGGCAAGTCAGCATGTTAATGCAATAAAGCGTGGTGCCAGCTCCCAGAGGGGAAGTGCAGGCGCTGTGGAGCAGTGGATTCCAGGGGACACAGAGCTCTCCTGAGATGCAGCCACATCTAGGGGCAAGGACAAGGCCATCACTAAAGACATCATCTCCCACTGCCTTCATCTGGGAGGAGAAGGAAGCATAAGGCCGACTCTCAGGGGTTTGAGAGTGAAACTGTAGTGTTAGCATCTTTGACCTGCTTCCTGGGCTGTATTGGTAAGGAGTCCCCAGGACAGTCCTTACCTCAGACCCAGGCCCCTGAAAGCAAAGGATGTTTTGTAATGAGACAGTATTTTATTTATTACCAGACTATGCCCTAAAGTACTTGAATTCTGCAGGGCTTCAAAATAAAACTACCTGTTGCAAGTTGATTATAACATAGCACTTTCTGCTTATGGAGAATTGGCTTTAGTGCTCTACAGTGGGTAGAGTGAAGACCTGTACCTGGTCAGCTTGTCAATGAGCACGAGAATAACACCAGCCAGTCACAGGAGCAGACTGCACAGCCTCTCCGGGCAGCCGTAGAGTGACCGGGCACACACCTGCTGAGTCCTGCTGACACAGCTCCTCCCTCCTATCCCTGACTGGACGAGGAAGGACCCCTTTTCTTCTGGGACCCACAGGCTGCCAAAACAGCTGTATCTTTTTCTCCACCATCATATTGACAGAGCCCTCCCCACAGCGGTGCATGGCAGAGCCCCTCCCCGAGGGATGAGAGCCCAGAGCTACCTCTTCTCTTCAGTTAAGAGTCGTCCCCGCCGGGTCTCCGGAGATTCAAAGGCAGCATTGAAGCCACCTGGAGCTTGCCATACTTAGGAGTCATATTCCTATGAGGAACATTTATCTAGACCTACTAGATCTACTTCCAGAAGAAAATCAATCCATAATCAATGAGGTTGATTCAGCGCCAACACGCGCGTGCTCATGCGTGCGTGCTCATGCGTGCGTGCGTGCTCGTGCGTGCGTGCTCATGCGTGCGTGCTCGTGCGTGCGTGCGTGCTCATGCGTGCGAGCGTGCCTGCGTGTATTCTCCTTGATATTTCATGTCTGCACAGAACAACCAGTTATGCAGACATGGAGTCTGCATAGAACAACCAGCCCTGTCCCCATCCCTCCCTTAGGCCACATGGCTGTGGCATCTATTTTCTTACCAACAACAAAGATGCCAGCGTTCGCCTATGAGCAAAACTAAGGCGAACTGTATTTCCGCTCTAGCTATTGGCCGGGTAAGAATGCCCCTCGGTACAGTCCAGCAGCCTCCCCTGTCTGCAGAGAAGGAAGAAAGCCCTGTTCTCCCAGCATTCCCTCCCTGCCCCCTTCCTGGGCTCCTTCCTGAAGGTGGCCTCCGGATGCAGCTTTCGGTCGGCAGCAGGCCTCTCCTCTGAGAAATTAACCCACTTTTTTTTTTTAATCTTTCAGCAGTTTTGCATTGTGCATTTCCTGAGAACATCTTCTTTCCTAAAGCGTAAAAAGCCCAGGACTCAGCCCAGATAGCATATCACGGGAGAAAGGCGGAAACCATTCTGGCGCACAGCTTTAATTGATTGCTTCCCCTCCACTGGGCCCACCGCGTGGCTTACATTGCTCAGAGCTCAGTGCTGCTGAAAGAGACCCATGGCTCCCCAACCTGCTCTGAGACAGGCCAGGAACTCAGGGAATTACGACAGTCAAGAACAATATGAACAACGAGTGAATCCCACTGGACCATAAATCTTCACAAAATTGTAGAGAAGGGGTGACAAGAGGCAAGCAGTGGGGCAGACAGTGTCGCTGTGTCGGAAACCCCAGGTCAGATCAACACGCAGCACAGCCACTGCAAAGGAAAGAGACAAGGTTGAGTTCTTGCTTCTCAGGAGCTGGCGTGCTTTCACCATCGATGCTCTCCTGCCTCATATGGGTATGACCTTTTCATCTCCATTCTCCAGTAAGTGCCTTGCTCAACCATGGGAAGCGAGGAGGGCCTTCGATAAGTCACTAACTCCTGAGCCAGGGCACTAGAGAAATGTGACTCCGAAAAAGCTCTAGACCCAAAGGGAGCTCCAAAAATAGATCTGTGCACATATATTCATACACACATACACACAATATATAAATATGTGTCTGTGTGTGTATATATTTCTATAGATTCCTATATAGTGCATATATTTTTCCCTTTATATATATTTGTTTCTATATGCATATATATTTGCCTATATGTGTATATTTCTGTGTGTGTGTATATATATGTGTGTGCATGTGTATTTTATGTTTTATGTACAACGCAACCACATTCCATTTTAGGTTCCACACTGTTGTCCAGGTATCTGTAGGAATCCACAGGTCTATTCCTAGGAGGGCCTTTCCTGGGCTACAGGAAAGAGGTCACTGGCATTCCTGCTTTAAAGAAAAGGAAGCAGATGGCACACACAACTGGGCACAGACAGCAGTAACCTGGCCCTCTACTTCCACTGCCTCAGAAGCAAGTCCAAGGCCAGTGCCTCCCCCGCCTGGACCCTGGAGATATCTCCACACTTCCTGCTGTCCCCTCTGGCCAGTAAAGGCCTCTGTCATACAGGTCTGCAATGTCCACAGGGGAAGTACTCTGATTTTTTCTGCAAAAACATTATGTGACTTGAACACAGTAAAAACAGTCATTCATTTTGCATCTTCATTTTACCTGTGGCAATTTCATCTTTGTTTCCTACATCCTTTCATAGGTCCATCTAAGATAGCTGGTCTTAGAAGTCAGACGCTTTATATGGCACCCACCACCCACAACTCCATTTAAACTAACAAGGGCTTGCATCTCTGAAATGATTGGAAATGTAGTTGTAGCTTTATCTTTACGATGATAATGATAATAACAAAAATGTTTGGAAAACCGCATAATAGTTGCTTTCCTCCCACCAAGGCCTATCACAAAATGCACTTGGTATTCACATGGAGCTAAGACAGTCAATAGGAATAAGCACCACTCAGCAACTCCATGGTCCAAGAATTTCAGAGCACCACCAGCCAGCAGTTCATCAGACCTCAGGCCATTTACCTCAGCCAGAGAGAGCTGCACCATGCCATCCTCGTCCTTGTCCAGAAGCCTGAATAATTCTAAAATGCCAGAGAAGGAATAAAATTAGATAAGGCTGTTTCTGGACTTTGAAACAGTCAGAGAGCTGCCTCTGTCTACCCCATCCCCACCTGGGGAACTCCCCTTTCCCCTACATCCCCTCCCCTCCAGGCCCCACCTAGCCCCAGGGACCTCAAAAAGCTAGACCCAGAGCACACAATCCGATCTGGGGGATCGGATGTCCCTGCCAAAACAGACAAACCCCGTTGCCAGCAGAGATGGTCCCTTTGGTGTCTCCACCCTCAGAAGCTTTATATCAGAAACGTGCAATTACTTTATCAGGGTGCAGTATTGTCAAACAGACGGTGGTTGTGTTGTTTGTGGGTAATACAGTCCCTTAGCTTTGTCTCTGGCTAACTGACCTTAACCCACTAGAATATAACACCTACGAAACCTCAGTGGAAGGAAAAATCCCTCCCTAATAAGGTATCTAATTTCAAGGCCCCAGATGGCAGGAAAACACCTTCCAGAGAACACCCCTGATTTCTTTGCTGGAAGGTGGCACATGTTCTCAATATGATTCCTACTGAAAATCAAATATAGATAGACACTAAAAGCCATCTAAGAATGTTACTGAAATGCATTCATCTTGGCCCAGTGACTGCACACTATATTTGCATGATAGTCTGGATGGCAGCTTTGTAATCTCCAAAAACAGGCAGCCTCAGTCCTGGGTCTGGCCAGCCTGGACTTCCTCAGCCCCTTCAGGTTCAGCTGCCCCTCACCCCCAAGGTGCCAGTGTTACAGAGGCCCTGTCTATTATTTTCTGGGCCCCCAGCCTCCGAAAGGCAATGTCTGTTTCTAAATGCCCCTTGGCCCTACCCACCTTGCACCTTGGGATTAATAGGATGGGGTTGGAGGACAGAATGACTCACTGAAGAGGGTCTCCAGGCGGATCATACAAGCCACAAAGCTGTCAAAGTCGATGCCAAGCTTGCTGCATGCATACCGCAGGGCAATGGTCTGCTGCACCTGGCTGTTGAGGGTGAAACCTGAGGGCAAGGGGGTCTGGGTCACAGGTGGAGTGGAAGACTCAGCACTGTCTCCCATAAATACTCAAGGAGCTGACACTGCAGGGGCCCCTCTGTGGTTCTGTATCAATCTGCAAACCAGGCCTGACTCTGCCTTCTCCAGGGGATTCCAGAAGGTGTCTGCCATCCATCCCTCCCCTTGGAGCTGCTCCACATCAGGGTCACCCTCATTCCAGAGCTAGCACTGGCACCAGCATCAGCTCAGCCATGGGTCACATCAGCAAGTGAAAGCAGAGAAGGTGAGGGGGCTGCCTCTCTGTCCAGTTCCTGTCCATCTCCATAGCCTGTCCTCTGTAATTGCCGTCACCCTCCCAGTAACAGGCAGAGATCTCGGAAAAATTCTAAAATATTATGCTATATGGAATCCAGCAATATTCTCCCCTTCCGGACAGGGAAGCTCTGTTGTTGCCTTGATATCCTATATAAGATAGCTACAACTGATGATCATTAACAATCATCGTTATGAGAATAAATATTTACAATGTACACATCTGGATTCCAAGACACTGTCTACCGGATGTGTTCTCACCTGCCTTCCTGAGGGCTGTCCTCATCTCGTGAGCATCCATGGTACCCGAGTGGTTATAATCAGTTTCCTGATAGATCTCCTAAAGCAGGAAAGAAATCCCAAGTAGAAAACAACCATTCACGGCCCCTGCTAGAACCATCTCCCTCCACCACACTGCTTCTTCAAAAGGCCAGGGACACATTCAAAGAGACCCTATTGACTCCTCCCAAAAAGGATTCAGAGCAAGGTTAAGAGCTCAGCCAGTGCTGGCCCCTTTGCTGTCTGAATAGCAGGCTTTCAGGGCAGTGGTTGGCATGAGAGTCTCTCATTGCCTTCTTGCTCCATCCTGAACAATGTGCCCAGGTCTCAATTGTTTTGACCATGATTAAGGATGTGGTCAGACTACAGTAGACTGGGAATAAGTGTAATGGAGGATTAGAACAGAGGAGAGGGACCAGAGCCCTGAGGATGCCCAGGAGAAAGAGAAGAGTTACCAGATACTTCTGAACCTTCAGCCAGAGCGTCTTGAATTCCACTGGCCCCAGAGTGCGCGTTCCATTGCTCTAGGCACGTTAAAGGCCAACATGATCGAGTCCAAATTATACATGCCTTATGGATTTCTTTTCCTTGTGATCTTGCATGAGTGCCTTAAGGCCTTAGTGAACCTTCCATGTCTGTGGCAAGCAGAGCAGTGAGGGTGACAGTGGGTAACGGGTGCAAATAAAGATCGAAACATCAAACACGCACCAAGACCCTCCTCTGAGGCCAGGCACAGAGCTAGGAACGAAGAGCAAGCCGCGAGCTGGCCAATCTGTGATATGCACACCCTAATCATCCCAGTTTATTTACGGGGTGGAGCTGTATCATCTGTAAATTCGCTTCCAGATTTACCTTTCTGTGGTTGATCATTGAGCTAATTAAGTTTGTTGGGATGTCAAAACGTTATGGGAAAAGCCATCGGAGCTAGGGACTGTGGGATTGGGAGTCTAAGCCACGGGATCTGCTCATAGGCCACTACACAGCCAAAACAGGCAGGTGTCACAAGGGATTTTCTGTGTCCAACTTACATTCACTCCTCAATTTTTTTTTTTTTTTTTTGAGACAGAATATCTCTCTGTTGCCCAGGCTAGAGTGCAGTGGCATGATCTCGGCTCACTGCAACCTCTACCTCCTGGGTTTAAGCAGTTCTCCTGCCCAGCCTCTCAAGTAGCTTGGATTACAGGCACCCACCACCACACCTGGCTAATTTTTCACATATATATTTTTTAGTAGAGATGGGGTTTCATCATGCTGGCCAGGCTGGTCTTGAACTCCTGACCTCAAGTGATCTGCCTGCCTGAGCCTCCCAAAGTGCAACAACTATTTTGTTTTGGCACTGTGTTAGTCAGTAGGGATTTGGTTTTGAACTGCACTTATACTCCTAAAGTTAAGTTTCTTAGAGACTCTACAATTTTTCTCACCAATCACAACGAATCAATAAACAGTATGTTAAAATTTTGAAACAGCCCCAGCTACTTGGGAGGCTGAGGCAGGGGGATCACTTGAGCCCAGAAGTTCAAGGCTTCAATAAGCTCAGATCATGCCTGTGCATATCCACTGCCCTTTAGCCTGGGAAGCACAACAAGACCCCATCTCTAAAGAAATAATCAGAATTCTAAAACAGACTATCACTCTCACCTCCTTTAACTAGCCAAACAAAAAATCTTGTAAGCCTCACCCTTTAAGAAAGTCTGTGTTCCATGGACACAGGGAGGGGAGCACTACACACTGGGGTCTGTTGGGGGGAAATAGGGAAGGGACAGCAGGGGGGTGGGGAGTTGGGGAGAGATAGCATGGGGAGAAAAGTCAGATGTAGGCAAAGAGGAGGAAGGCAGCAAATCACACTGCCACGTGTGTACCTATGCAACAATCTTGCATGTTCTTCACATGTACCCCAAAACCTAAAATGCAATAAAAAAAAGAAAGTCTGTGTTCTTGAGTCTATGCTCCACACTGAGTGCTGAGTGCATCACAGCCTTCAGATCGTTACTAACAATTCAACTAACACCTCTAAGAAGAGTAGTGTGCAGAGGAATCTAACACTCGGGTCTAGGTACTCGACACACTCGTATCTCATTTCGTCCTGACAATAGCCACGTCAGCTAGATATCGTGATCCCATGTTCCAGGAGAAACTGAAGTTCAGAGCGTTTCCTAACTCCCCCAAATTCATATACCTCAGTGAGTGGTACAGACAGAATGTGGACCCCTGGCTGTTTCAAAGCCTTTGTCCCAGAACACCAGTGGCCTTCAATTCCAGATCCAGTTGCCTGCAGAGACCGCACCTGCGGAACCAGGATCCCCAGGAATCAGGGTTGGTTTGTTTGTTTTGTTGTTGTCGTAGGAGACAGAGTCTCACTCTCTTACCCAGGCTGGAGTGTAGCGGTGTGATTTCTGCTCACTGCAACCTCCACCTCCCAGACTCAACGATTCTCATGCCTCAGCCTCCCAAGTAACTGGGATTACAGACGTGCGCCACCACACTTGGTTAATTTTTGTATTTTTAGCAGAGACGGGGTTTCACCATGTTGGCCAGGCTGGTCTCTAACTCCTGGCCTTAGGTGATCTGCTCACCAAGGCCACCCAAAATGCTGCTGGGATGCCAGGCATCAGCCGCCGCATCCAGCCAGTTTTTCAAATGTTTTTTTTTTCCTGTTACTTTGTAGGACATGTGAAAGACTGTATTTTTAAACTGTATTTTTAACACCCAGGGGTGATAAAGTACTCACACATGCTATAGTACTTAAAACATCATGTTCAGTGAAGAAAAAGCCAATCACAAAGGACCACACATTGTATCATGTCATTATATGAAATGTCCACAATAGGCGAATTTATAGAGACAGAAGGTGGATTAGAGGTTGCCTATGGATAGGGTGGGGTTGGGGGAAATGGAGAGCGACTGCTAATATGAGTACAGGGTTTATTTCTAGGGTGACGACAATATTCTAAATTATGTGAAGATGGTTGCGTGACTCTGAACACCCAAAAGCCATTGACTGATCTACTTTAAATGGGTGCCTTGCATGTTATGTAAACAATATCTCAACAGAGCTGTTATTTTCTTAAGGACTCCATGGGTATTACTGCTGATTCAGAACCACTGCCCCACACCACCTGAACTGTGGAAAAAAAACTCCTGAGGTGTGGCAGAGAGTCACACTCCTCCCGGACTGTGAGAGACAGAAACACCACTGGGAATAATGAGTGGGTAGAGTACAAGGCAACTCTCAAATCTAAACTGAAGTCAACAGGCAGGGTTTGATGAGAATAATTCAGAAACCAAGGAGCTATTTGCAGCAAAATGAATCGTTTAACGGTTCCTTGGGGTCCACAAATTAAATTGTTAAGCACGTAGAAAAGACATGAGCGCAGAAGAGCCCCGGCCTCATGCAGGAAGCGGCCACCTGAAGCTCAGTGGCCAAAAGATAGCATCAGCCCTCCATGGCAGATCAGCCACACACAGGTGGGCACACACGCTCTGTCATCTGGAACCACTCTGCATGACACCCACCCAAAGGAAGATCCTTCCCTTCCCACAGTTAATGAAAGAACCCACAGTAAAGATCATCACGGATAAACAGACAGAGCTCATCGTGGATGGGGCCCCAAGGAACTGAGAAGAACCCTCCAAGGCTCCAATTTTTAAAGAAATCACCTTCACCATCAGCACTGTGATGAATGGCAACCTGGACCTACTGTAGGCAAAGCTCTAAGAAAGTGATGTTACCCATTCACCCTCTGTGCCTTCACACCTAGACGGTTCCTTCCACCTAGAATGCCCTAACCTTCTCCATTCTTCCCAAAAACTACTGCTCAATTGCTATAGACTGAATGTTTTTGTCCCCCAAAATTCATATGCTATAACCTAGTCCACATGTGAGGTTATTAGGAGATGGGGCTTTGGGAGGTAATTAGGTCATGAGGGTGGAACCCTCATAAATGAAATTAGTGCCCTTATGAAAGGAACCCCAGGAAACTCCCCTCATCCCTTCTACCATGTCAAGTTCTAGCCAGAAGATGCCATCTGTGAACTAGGAAGCTGGCCCTCATCCACCACAAAATCTACCAGCACCTTGATCTTGGACTTCTCAGCCTCTAGAACAGTGAGAAATAAATTGCTATTGTTTATGAGCCACTCAGTTTATGGTCTCCTGTTACAGCAGCTGAAACAGCCTAACACACCATTCTTCAATATCAAGTGAGGGTTAAATTAGTTCAGAGAGAACAAATAGGTTTTATCTCGTGATAATTCTAAACGATCAGTAGTGGGTGTCCACAAGCCATGTTAGGATTCTGAAGCAA